ATAAAATAATAAATAAATAATTCTTTTTAATTAAAAAAATAGACGTGCACATAATTTGTGCAACGTGACACCCCCGAATGAATTTTCAACACTGATTCTACAACTCGATTAATCAACCCCAACTAAACTCAAATACCATTATTATTGTGAATTCGCAATTCACACGTGTGAAATTCAAATTTACATGTGAAATCAAATTAGCCAATCAGAATTTCACCCCACCATAATATTTCAAATTTCACATATATACAACATACAGCAAAAAAAAATTTTTCTTTATTGAATTTGTTTTTTGTATCATGTCTTGACGAAGAAGCACAGGAATTTTTGGCGGAAATATTAAATGGTTTAATTAGTTTGTTATTTAATTTACATTTGTGAAACCAAAGTTGGAATACGGGCAAACAATTTATTCTATTAAAATCTATCTTGACTGGTTTTTTTGCCTTTGGAGTATTTTTTTTTACATACATTTGGTAAGTGTTGGCTAGTTATTATTATCATTTTGACATTTTACATTAATTAACATAATATATTTATCTATAAAGAGGATCGTATGGAGCTATGGTCAATTATGATGGTTTCAGCCGGAGTTTTTTGTTTGGACGTATAACAAAAGTTACCGTTCCAGCATTATTTAATGATCGTGGCGAATTATGTGATTATTTAGATTTGTTGTGGACATTCAAAGTAAGTCTATAATTATTTCATAAATGCTTGTGCTGATTGAAATAAAAATATTACAACAATTTAGTATGTATCAATTCTTTATCACAGATTAAACTACAAGAAACTACTGAAAAAATCGATCAACTTCGGTTAGACCATATTTCCAATAAGTTCAATCCATCATCTAAAGATCCGACAGATTTAATACCATTCCAACCGCATATACCACAAAAAGACAAAGACAAAAAAGGCGTTGGAGCCACAAGACCGACTAGCTTACCACATGGAACTAAAAATACGTTTATAATTGGTTGGTGCTTTAATCCAGTTGGGTGGAATACAAAAGAATTTTTTTTTAATGAACTGTATTGGATTGAAACGGATAAAAGGTTTATTTCAAAATTTGATGAAAATCAAATAGATAATCCAATATCAAGAGAGTTATAGATCCAAAACACGCAATACTTCATGGTAAACAAAAGATTATTCCAACTCTATATAATATAGAATTTCATGAAAAAACTATAAATTTTTATGATTTACAACTACGTAATAGTATTAACGATCATCCTTATTGTTATTATTATTTAGTAGTTCTATTTCCAAGAACATTTATAAAAATGATTTAAAGTTTAGAAATAGAAAAAATCTAAAGTATTTATTCGGTAGAAGAATGTGTAGTTTATAGGATAGTAAAAAAGAATCAATTTATCAAAGAGTTTATTATTTATTTCTTTATTTATAGAAGGCTCTTTTTTGATATATTGCACAAAATTTGTATAATAAAAATAAATATAAATAAAAATTTATATCAATTTGTAACTTTAATGTTGTATATGTGCATATAAATTTTTCAGTCGAAAAACCCCAAAATTGTAATTACAAAATAAAATTTACACATAGTAATAGTAAAAGAACCAAGTATTAAAGAAACATTTTTTTGAATCGCCTGCTACCATTAATATGCTGACTAGTAAATTATTTAATTGGGTCAGGTCTATAACAGTCAAGAATTTAAAAGTTTATTGTTACATTGGTTGACTGGCAATTGGACTTGACTAAACAATAACAAAAGCCGTGCACACATTTAAAAATCAATTGCACACGAAACATAATAAAAACATACTTTGTAGCTTAGGTTTATCAAATTATATGTGCAAAATTTCATTTCCACAACGTTTTTATTTGAACTGATAATCAAACAAACAAAATTTCTTCATCATCAAAATTGTCCATCAGTCTGAAAACGCAAACAATAATAATTAATAAATAAATTAATAATATACATGTATATATGAACTCAATATTTTGTTGGCCATCCATTATTTTCAATTACTGCTTCGATTCTCCCACAATCAATTTATTAGGACATCATTTGAAATTTCACTCCATTCTTCTTATTCTTCTTGCAACGAGACAATATTTTTCAGATTTTTAGCCATCTTCTAATTCTTCTTTCCAACTCTGACCACAAATGCTCAGTTGGATTCAAGCCAGGTGAGTAGCTTGCCAATTTGACAAAACATTAATCTCGTTAGCTTAAAACAAATTTTCTACAGCTCTTACAGTATGTACCAGGGCGGGCATTCTCACCTTGGTACAAATATCCCTTGCTATTAAAATCTTTTTCAATCAAATGTCGCGAATGGGATTCTAGTATTTGTATATACCATAAGCTATTTAATTTACCATCTACTTTCACTGATGGACCCAAACCATTCTCCGAAAAAAAAAACAACCAAACCTCCATCTCCAATTTTACAATTGGGGTCATAATTCAAGATTAAATCTATATAGTACCAGAATTTCTTCAAACGCGCCCCGATCCATCATTTTTATATATTGTGAATCTACTTTTGTCACCCCAAACAACATTTCCATTTTCTAAATGTCCAATTTCTTCTCTCAATTTGTCCTTTAAAAGTTGCTTTGCTGCAGGAACACGAGAAAAAACATTTAATCCGTGTAAAGTTCTTCTAATAATCTTGGTTGAACCATTGATATTTAATTTTTCATTAAGTTTATTTTTAAATTGTTCAATTATTTTTTTTTACAATTTTTTCAATGTTTTTTTTGTTTTCATTGTTTATTAATTTAGGACAACCACTTCGATTTTAATGATAATAATAAGATCCTTTTCATCAAGATATTTTTTAATAATGTGAGACACTGCTGTTCTATGAATGCCAATAATTCTAGTTATTTTGTAATAAAAACTGACGATTTTACCACTTTGGAGTTGACATTTTTTTGAAGGATCAGTTTAAAAATGATGCTTGTTTACAAAAAAAGTCAAAACAATATAGATATTTATTCAAGGCGCGTATTATCATATTTCAAAATCTCATATGAGGATATTACACACGCTTTTGAACAATTGATTTTTTTTCAAAGTGATCGTTTTTGGTCAAATTTTACACAAAAAAAATTATGAACCTAATCTGCAAAAGTAATACCTTTTATTTAATTATTATATATTAAGTGCAATTAATTTTTAAATGTGATGCAGGATCAAGCAAGATATAAAGATATATTAATTCTTAATATATCAGGTAAAAAATGGTTGTGATTATACATATAATCTCTTCCTGATGTATGTGATAAAATTTTATTTTAATAGTCCATGATAGAGACCAAGCTAGAGAATGTAAAAAATATGTAGTGGATGCTGAATATCGTGTTAGGGGTTTCCTCAAACAAACCAATTCCCAAGGTGTAGTAATATTATCTTTTTATTAATTAATAGTCCGTGTGACATGTCCTGCAACACAATTTTTTTATTAATAAAATTTCGAATTGAATGTTCGTTTGATACCCTCGTGTGATACCCTTGTTGTGTAGCAATTGCCACCAAATTTGATACATAACTTCTTTGTCATATGTATCTGCTTTAAAATTTTTTTTTAAAGTTGTTAATAAAACCGAAAATAATCTCAGCCTTAAAGTCAAATTTTGACTTTATATTCATATATGTAGTGTGTGTAAAGGTAAATAAATATTTACAGAATCATGTTCACTTTGCTTCCTAAAATATGTCTTTATACTACTCTCATTTATTTTAAACAAATAAAGTATGGTTTATACTAATATATTAAATTTTAATTATGGAGACCAAACGTTTTATAGTAAAACTTTATTATGGTGTGAAAAATGAGAGCAATAATAATATTGGATGTAAGGAGTTGGTTAGAATTGATGAAATTAATCCAGACACAAGAATTACAGGTAGAGAGCATTGTTGATATTAGATTAATAGAATTTATTAAAACTTGTAAATATGAGTTTATTTAATAGATTTGATGATAATAACAATTGAAATGTCAAAGGCTAATTAATCTCAATTCATAAATCCTTGAAAGAAAATATTGGATCAATACTATATACAGTCAAATCTTGTTCCAATGAATCTATGAGACACAAGAAAATTGCATCTAAAATTCATTATATCAAATTAGAGTAACGCGATTCCAACAAATTTAATTATAATTAATTCATTGCAACAAATCTAATTTAATTATAATTCATGATGACGCGTTGCAACATATTTGATTATATTTCGTGGTAATACAATTTCAACAATTTAATTGTATGTTTGTTAGCTTAGGTTCTCGTTGGTTGCGCATGTAAAAAATTAATTATTAAAAAATAAATACTTATTATCTTCATTTTCATTAATAAATTAATGAATTAATAAATAAATACCTTTTAATAATAAAATAATAACTAATTTGATAGTTTCATAACAATTCTTTCTGACCATACTAAAAGTAATTAATGATTAATTACAGGAATATATCAACTAAAACTTTATGATGTTGAATTTTCTATCTATTTTCTAAAAATAATTAATTAATAATAAATAAAATATGGTCGCGGGTCATACACCACTAAATATAGTCACATAACAATTCCTTCTGATTTAACCATTAATCTTTGGAAAAAGAAAATTGTGCATTCTCTCCTATATAGATGAATTGAGATAAATAATGCCTTTAATATTAACAAGCTTTTTAAACTGAGATGTAACAGTGAGTTTCGTGGAATACAAATTAGCATTATAGCATGATGATATTCTTTGGCATCACATGACTCAATCATATGTTTGTTCGGAGTATTAAAATTAGCCAATTATATTGTTGTTATTATTTTTAATCGTTGCGTCGAGCAAAATATTTATTTATTTATTTATTGTCAAAGCTTACAACCGAGAACTCAATGCGAGCTTTTGCTACGCGAGAATAAAAATCCATTTATTTTAAGTTGGGTTTGAATTGCGTCTCCTTCGTCGCAAAGAGCAAAAAAATAACATCACTCAGGCCAAGACAATAGTCTATTTTATTAAATTCAAAACGCATAAATAGGACAGCCATCCCCACATTTTTTTCGTTTTTTTTCGTAGAGAAATTCCGCTCGAGCCATTTCAGCACAAGGAACTCAAACTTCTACGACGTCCCTGTCCATCTTCAAGCAATCAAGATAAAATTCAAGTTTACAGATGGTGAGCACATTCAAACCATGAAATCATTTATCGTTATACAACGTTATACAAAATGGTCAGTCAAAAAATAAAATTACCGCTGCGCCGAGTGTTTCATAGCATCATAATAATAAAAACACATGATTCAAACATTTACATATAATAAATAATAACAGGCAGGAGAGACCGTTCAGGTACACGCAATTGTTGATCGACCAATCAAAATCGATTGTTAAAAATAAAAAAATCCTTAAAAAAATCAATTAAGCCTTAATTTAAAAAAAAAATCCTTTGCAAAGTTATTTATGTATTTCGATTGTTAAAAAATCAACTAAGCTTTTTTTCTCTTAATTAAAAAAAAAGATCCTTTGCAAAGAAGAACATCAAAAGTTATTTACAAATTTCGATTATTAAAAAAAACCAACCAAACTTTCTTTTTCTTAATTAAAAATCTTATGTTCTCGTGTTTATTTATTCGCCCCAGATTAAAGGTCAATTGGATCGATAAAAAAATTTTTTTCAAGCTTCATGCAAACAAACTGATTGTTTAAAAAGTCAACAATACTTTTTTTTTTTCTTGATTAAAAAAAGAAAAGAAAGATCATCTGCAAAGATTAATTATTCAAAAAAAAAAATTTCTCCGGAAAGGAAATAAAAAATGAATTCAGATCATCCACTATTCCTCAAATGGTCGAAATCAAATATTTTTTTTTAATTAAGCACAATCAAAAAAATTTGTACATATTGTTTTATTTATCGATCATTGAATTGACCGATAATAACAAATAATAGTAATGACAACAAAATAAAACGTAATAGTAAAAAGATGCTTTGAATTAGGTCTCGTGACCAGAAAATATGTTAACATTAGTACCACTCTCACGTTGTGCGACAAGTCATTGACGATCTGAGGTAAAGGCTCCAAGACAAGGCCATCAGTTTTGGTCATTTTGAACGGTTTGAAACGTCGGAGAAAGACGGAAACCTATCGGTAGACAACGGTAGTCATTACGCAAAAAAAATATCTAAAGCGAAACACGATTTCCTTCCATTCCAGTCAAGTATCTGCTTCGCTCAACCCTGACATTTTTAACAAAAATTTTCGGTTTCACGAAACATGATAAATAGATATATAGCAAAACGGGATTCGCATGACACAGCGATGATAAAAATAACCATTCGTCATTTTTAGAAAACGAAAATATTTCTGTTCAAATTTCAATTTGGAAATCATTTCAAGCCACAAAGTTTCGCCCTTTGATTTTGATCTCATCCTTCCCCAAAAATTCGGTTTACTAAAGTTGAGAAACAAAATGTTTAGAAGAATCGGATTCGTTACGTATCTGCACTTAATATCAATTGAGTCTCAATCTCAATCTCAGTCTCAATGTTAAACGAATATAACATTCACAACAGAACATTTCCCGTGGAACAAACATTTTCCAAAATCGGGCGAAATTGCAGATTGGGAAAAAACAGAAAAAAAAAAGAAAAACGTTACGCGAGATGTCGAAATCCACACAAGAATTACAATAATTTGGTAAGGAACCATGACACAATAAAATTTCATTCTTTTATATATATTAATTAATTAATTATCAAAAGAGTAATTACATCAACTGAATCAAGCTTCCATTATCTTAATTCTAATATGTATTTTCTTATTATTTCTTGATTTAAAAGCAGTATATTAATATGAAAATAGAATTTAATTTTTAAAATAAAATGTTTGTTCAATATGAATAAATTATATAAATGGTCTTTTAGTGCCATGTGGTAAGCTAGTCGGTCTTATGGCTTCAACGTCTTTTTTGTCTTTGTCTTTTTGTGGTATATGCGGTTGGATTGGTATTAAATCTGTCAGATCCATAGATGATGGGTTGAACCTATTGGAAATATGGTCTGACCGAAGTTTCTTGATTATTTCAGTAGTTTCTTCTAGTTTAATCTGTGATAAAGAATTGATACATATTAAATTGTATTATGCAATACATCAGTATAATATTTTTATTTCAATCAGCACAAGCATTTATGAAATAATTTACTTACTTTGAATGTCCACAACAAATCTAAATAATCACATAATTTGTCACGATCATCAAATAATACTGGAACGGTGACTTTTTTTATACGTTCAAATAAGAAAACTTCGGCTGAAACCATCATCATTGACCATAGCTCCATACGATCCTCTTTATAGATAAATATATTATGTTAATTAATGTAAAATGTCAAAATAATAATAATAATAACTAGCCAACACTTACCAAGTGTATGTAAAAAAAATACTTTAATCGAACAGAAAAGAACAGGATTTCCATTTGTAAATTTATTTGCTAATTCATCTAACATATACAAACAACCAACGAATCCTTTTACATGATCCCATGTTGAGCGGGGTTTATCAATCAAACCATGCCCGCCACTCATTTCTAAATGCGCAAGCTCTAGATTATCAACTTTAAATACCCCATCACAGAGTTGTGAAACATCCGATTGTTTGTATCGTAACCTGCACGAGTCTATACAATCCAATGCTATTTCCCCACTGTAAAGGCAAAAAAACCAGTCAATGTAGAGAAAAATCAATCATACAGAGAAAACATAATACATATATTTATACAGGATTGACAACTTACGGTAAATATTTAACATGAGATTCTAAGCCTTCTAATAGCCACATTAATGTCGGGTGGATGATAAAACCACCATAACTGGCCTCAGAAGCATCTCCACCCGACATTACTGAATTGGGAGGAAATACAAGTTCGTTACTGCAATGAACAAGTAGAAAAATTCTCATTAGTTGTTCACCACTCTAGTTGTGTCTGAAAAAAAATTTTTTGTATGTTTAATATACAAATGCTCACAATTGATTGATCACCCGAGAAAAAAAAATGAGTTTATCAGATTTCATCGTTTTTAATACAATTGGGGGAGAATAAATTGTTGTCCGTATCTCGACTTTGGTTTGCTGCTTATAGATCACAAATGTAAATAAAATAACAAATTAATTAAACCACTTAAAAAAAACTTACTTCATTTAAAATTATTTTTGTTAAAAATTCCTGTGCTTCTTCATCAAGACATGATACAAAAGGTGTCCAAATTGATTGTATCATTTTGTAGTCATCTTCCGAAATCCATTTTGGGCATGCAATTCCTCCTCCGCATCTTATTGTATTAAATTTTTCTGGCCTAAAATTAAAAGTTTTTAAGTATTTACAAAAGAAAATATAAAAATATCTCTAATGTTTAAATT